CAGCAGCGGGTGGTGCTCGTCCAGGCTGCAGAGGCTGGAGCACAGGGTGTCCGGGGAGCCGGCCGTGGGGGAGGGCTCTCCGCTGCCACCTCCCTCTCCGCCTCCTCCACCACCCTCGCAAGAGGGCCCTCGGAGGCCCAGGTGCTGGCAAAGCTGGCTGTGGATCAGGTCCTTCAAGTAGGGTGGATACGATGGCACATCTAGAGGGAATGATACAAACTATGAGCATGAACTATGAGAACAACGATAAAAGAAGAAATATGAGCTGAAACTGTAATATTTCCTGTTGGGTCACTGAGCGGTTGCAGTCAAATATGAGGAGGAAATTACAAGCAGCAAAGATAAATAGTGAAAAGAAATGTGGAAATGCACCAGCAAAAGCTGCCAAACACAGATGAATGCAGGCTTTAAAAACAAAAACCTGTTTTAGAGGTCATTTATTAATATCAATCAACATTATGTAAGGCCTCAAAGATACACAAAAAAAACCACTGAATGTAAAGTTGACCCCACAGGGCGCTGTTTTTGCAACAGGAAGCCAAATTCTTTTATGTCAAACAGATAAAGTGGAAGTTTGCACCACTAAAAGAATCATTCTTCTTGAATTTATGCATTGGTTGATTTTTTACCAATGATTAATGTGCATGTTAAAGCAAAAAATAAAATAAAATAAAAACCTGTTATAAAGCACTGCATATACAGTAGTAACTAAGTCCAAAGTCAACTGTGAATGAATAGAAACATGAATGAATGAAAATCAATAAGAATTAATAATAAAGATATCTTGCACTGCATTACAAGGGTGTGAAAAATACCAGCAGTTACTGTATGAGAAAAAAGAGCAATTGATAAAAATATGAGATATAAATTAAAATTTAGTATAATATGACATTGCAGCCAGTTCTAAGAACTACTGCAAAATGTGAAATGATAGAGAAGTGAATAATCTTCTTTGATTAATGCAACACACAGGCTGCTATATATAAAGCTCTATTCACTAAATGGCCTTTGCCAGAAGGTAAGAAGCCACAGATGAATATGTGAAGATAGAGAAGCAACACGGAGATGAATGTTATTAGCTGCAGTACAGTTCATTGGTGGTTCAGTGTAATCAAGATGAAAGCTCTGGTATACACACACTCCCACACACAGCTATGGTCAAATACACTCTGTGTATTTATAACCCGCTCACACACCATCCTCACAGACACTGTCTCTGCAGCAAAGGAAATCATATTAAACTTGCAGGAGGGATATCAAATTGCGCCGAGGAACAAAAAAAATGTTGGGAGGGGATGAAAACTAGGGCACTGGGACAATGAAAGATACAGAGAGGCAGAGAGGGAGAGATGGATGAGGAGAAGGTGTGTGATAGGCTATTAGGAAGGAAATGAATGTGATTTAGCCTTACCACGACTATTGTGGTGTAGAGGTACACTGTGTGTGTGTGCGTGTGTGTACCTGTGCTCTGTGTGGTGGGCTCGTTGGCAGGCAGAAAGTCCTCGTCATATGAGTCATCATTGGACTCGTCGCCGTCCACAGACGACCAGGCCCTCAGCTTAGCCTCCGCTATGGCGAACTGCTCGGCCACACCTGCGCACACACACATACACATACACATAAGCTCCACATGTACACACACAAATACACGGTCGGCATGGTAACAAGAGGCAGCGGGCCATTGTGTCTCCATGTCATGTAGCTGTTTTTGATTGGCAGGTCTGCATGAGGAAAAAAAGTGTGTGCTGTAGTATTAGACTGGACAGAGACAGCGTTCCCATTACAGCCAATGTTCTTCAGCGGTCATTTGCCTGGTGCACTTAAGATGGCTGTCACTGACGGTTTGATAGTGTTGTTATGCAGGTTGCATTCCTGCCTGTGCAGAGGAGACAGTGAGTTGAAGAAACACAGACACAATCTGTATGTCACTAGGAATGCCAGGAGAAAAATACTTAAGCAATGTAATCAGTATTGACATTCTCATTGAAATAATGATGATATAACATCAGGTTGAGTTTTTATGCCACACAAACCATTGTTCAAGTCATAGCCAGCATGAACTAATAGAGCAACAATAAAGAACAGGTAAAAAAAACAATGAGCAGTATTATTATGGCTCACATGGTAAATTCCCCATAATGTACATTTCCACAGCAGTAATACTATCAGGTTGTCTTTTAACATAAATGCTTGTTTCATTCACCACTGAGTTCTTTTGTCTGTCCATTGTTTCTCTACCCGTGTTCATCTATTGTCAAATTCAACACATCCTGATTTCAAATCAAAAGCCTGCCAATTAAGGGAAGGCTGCAATGCATTTAATGTACAAACATCTGCAGGAAGTGTTGCAGCTCAGAATAAAATAAGGCTCTGCACACTGAACTAAACTGAATTCACACTCTGTCCAACTGCTTTGTGTGTTTGTAGAGTCTCTAGCATAGTCCTGTTCTCTTGACCACATACTTAGTTACATCAACACATTTCTGAGTCAACAAAATTTAACATCACATGCTTCACAAAGATACATACAAATATTTTATTTTACTACTTTATTATCTTTTTTTTTATCTCACTTATCTGTTTATACATAATACACTTGCTTTGGCAATGTGATCGTCTGTTTCCCATGCCAATAAATCCCCTTTGAATTGAATTGACTGGATTTATTGCATATATGTACAGTACAGATGTATTTGAGAACTTGGTGTATGCTGTGTGAACTGTTTGCATAGAAATACTTTGTTAAATGATTTTATCAGTGGCTGTGTTACTGTAGTTTTGCCCAGAAATGATAACCTCCACTACCATAACAATTAATCACAATATATTGTAAGTAACCAAACATACACTCACATACATGGGCATGTGAAACACACACGTAAGGCCACAAAGGGAACATCAATGTGTGTGTGTGTGTGTATGGCTGAGGTGACTCAGCATGTGCCAGAACCAATAAGCCACAAGGTCCAAGTGACCAATCACCTCCAATCATCATCAGTAGCTGGCCAATCAGAGAGCGAGGCTCCCTCTCTCTCTCTTTCTCTTCATGTCTCTGCTCAGCCTCGTCCTCTTCCTCTCTGTCCATCTGTTTTGTATTCCTCCCCGTTCATCCGCTCTCTTCTTTATGTCTTGCCTTTCTTCCAATCGTCTCCCTCAATAAAACGCTCCATCGACTCACCTGACTCTCCGCATTCCTACCGTTCCCTTTTCTTTCACCATGCAATCTTTCAGCCTTGTCCCTCACTTTTCATTTTGATTTCTATCTCTCTCACTATCTTTCCTCAGTCTCCCTTCTCTTTATGTCTCTCTCCGACTTTCTCCCTGGTCAATGCTCAGTATTCATGCGTTGTCTCCCGCAGAAAGAGATCGATGCTCTCATTCATCTTCCACTGTAGCTGGGCCCTGAACTCTCCTCACAAACACTGGCATATCCTCCGGCAAAATGCAGCCGTGCAGGTTGCTCTTTAGTTGTCCTTTGAAAGCATTTTACAATTCCTTTAACTCATGAAGAAAGAGAGTTTTCACCTGCATACTGACTTTTTTATGTCACTGACCCACATACCACACACAAATAGGGATAAAGAGATAGTTTAGACACACAACATCTGTGTTCTTCTGTCTGTAAAAATTCAAATTTTTATTACATGATACAAATGTAAAGCTGGCCAGGCATCAAAGTGCCAACTTTAACTGGTGCAGATTGTCATATTTATTTCAAGATGAAATTATTACTGGGTAGAATGTCTCACATGATAATATGACAAAATCTAATGCAATGTAATTCTAACCTTAATCACAAACTGTGCTTGTGACCCAACATTGCACAAAATGTGCTCACTGTGATCAGATCTGAAAATGAAACAGATTCTCTTTCTTTCTCTCTGACACACACTTTCTACAGTTCTACTACGACTTCATCACTTTAGCTAAAGGTGTCAGTGATACAGTTTGGACATATTGTAGCATGGTACAGTGGTTTGCAGTTTTACACTTGTCTACTCTCAAACTTTCCTCATAAATATCTACTCAGTTAGAAGACACTAACAGTAACTCCCGTGGATGACTATAACATATATAGATAGCATTTATCACTTTAAACCTGCATTAACTGCATTTTGTCCTCTTTGGGGCAGTGGAAAAAAAGCTGTAAACACTGCACTAATATATCATGACTCCAGCTAGCCGCTAACTTTGTCTGTGTTTCAGTTGGTGTCGGGCTGGTAGTGTACGTACAGTGGATTTATCAAAGCTTATTCACTGATGAAAAAGGAAATGGGGCTGAACCAGAACAGTAAAGTTGCAGACTGTAAAAACAAAGCAATGGGCTGGAAAATATTCAAAGCTCTGCAAAGCTAAGGGAGTTGGGTGATTATTCTCTGCGACTCCTTTCACATTACACATAGTCATTGGATTTGCTGTTAATAAAGAATATTGGTATAGCTACTTTAAGAAAAACAAAGTCATGGGGCCCTGGTAGCTCACCTGGTAGAGCTAAGGCTCAGTTCTTACCACAGCGGACCGGGTCCAATTCTGGCCCGTTACCCTTATCTGCATGTCAACCCCTCTCTCTCCCACCTTTCCTGTCCTATCTTTAGCTGTCCCTAAAAAATAAAGGCATAAAAAGCTCAAAAAATATATATATAAGAAAACAAATTCACCAGCTCCACACTGCTGCATGGTTAGATTGAGCGGTCGCTTTTTCCAACACCCAATGCCAATTTCTCAGTTTATTTTTTCCAACAGGCTTGTTTGTTGATAGTGTGAACCTGGTGAGCAGGACCGGTCAGACCACATACACCTCTGCTATACACACTTTACACACAGCCACACATGTATTTTCAACATATTCTCTCCCTCACACTCTTGTCTTTTTTCATTCATACACACACACACAGTGACATAAGCCTCTCTCTGTGTTGGCAGCCAGTGTCCTGCACTGTAGAGAGACACTGCAGGATTAACTTCAAAGTGTTGGCACAAGTTAGTCTATCAATAGGACAACCCCACCGGCATTTTCAATTCTCAAGATGCCTGATACGCACATACGCGCAAGCACTGTTGTGTGTTCTACTGCAATAAGCTTGCACCAAAACACACCAAACACTCACTTCACACATTTGCACATGCTGACTTTACATACTAACACGCTCACCGACATTCAAGCTGTGCATCCAGTCACCCACAGTAACACTATCACTGGGCTACAAGGAGAGAATTGACAAAAAATAAAAGGAGTCAGCACAACTGGCAGCTCCCTGATGGAATGGACGCACACTGATGATGTAAGCTGAAGAGACAAGGATAAGTATAATGTATCGTAATCACTACCCAACTCACCCCCTGCCAGTCAAATAGACCCTGATCTGATCTATAAAAAGAAGTTATTTGGGTGCTTTAAACAAGCTGATTTGAATCATCATGTAAGGGAAAACAACAATGGGGGGATGAGAAGAGAAGTCATGTATATAGTAAGATATAAAAGAGGTAAGAAAAAAGAAAGGAGAACAGAGGAGGCACAGAGGAAAATCGCTCAGTCACGGTGGCACTAGCCAGGAGCAAAACCTTACTGTGCAAATTAACCTTGAGAGTCTGCATTGCAGGGAGCGAGCGAGAGAATGGAGGGAGAGCAGGCGGGAGCGACTGGGTGAAAAAGACAGAGAAAAAGAGGCGATAAAGAGACAGAGGGCAGAGAGGAACATTAAAAGAGGGGACAGTGTGAATAGGAGGAAGAGGGTATGTGTGGAGGAGAAGAGTTAAGGGCAACGAATGTGGCTGCATACAGTTGCTGCAGAATCAAACATACACCTTGCATTAACATGCAAACTGTACCTGGATAATGATATCTGATCAATTGCATTCACACCTGGTATCTTGATTCTGACCACATTGTGACTGGATCTCAACATGCAAAAAAAGGTAGGCGGATATGTCCAGTTTAGCCATGCTGCTGTATGGACTTTGCTTTTTGACATGCATCTGGAGATAGGAGGACATGGAGTTTGGTGACCTTACAACTTGTTGGGCAGATTTTTTACTTAAAGGGACAGTCCACCTATTTCACATGTCAACGTCAGTTTACTACTGAGTACTATTGAGCCAGTGAAAACAGTTGTATCATATCTTCTGTGGCTTTGAGGAAGCTTTGACAAGACTGAGAAAATAAGAGTTATCTCAGCTTAGGCATGAAGATAACCGATTAATAACTGAAAGCAGTTATAAACTGTTGATGTAGTGTTTGAAAGATGCCATGGATTTGCATGATCAGTGGTGTAGGGATCCAGTATTTTTGAAGCATCAGGTCAGGATATGTTCGCCTCTGGTGCTTCAATTTTGGTCCATCTTTATTAATTGATTTTCTTTTACCATTTTTGTCTTTATTAGATAGTTTGACAGTGAAGACAGACAGTAAACATACGACAGACAGAGAAGGGCAGTTAAGGTCCCTGGCCAGACTCCAACAGGGGACATTGTACTTATGTAGTTTGGCCATACTGTATATGGTCTTGACCACTAGACCAACAGGACTCCCATGTAATCGAAATACTAATACAGTGGCTACAGTGTACAGACTGCATTTACACTTTGCTGAGATCTTGTGAACAAAACAACCTTCATGTGGTCTAGCTGAGCCGATAGTCTTCCAATTGCAATGCAGAAGCTGCGTTAATATAATTTTAGTCCACCATATACAGTATACTGTGACAAGACTAGCTGGTTTGAAGCTAAATCCTGCACATCCATTTCTGTGAAATGCTTACTGAGAGGGTTTTTTTTAATTAAAAAGTCAGTATTTGCAACATCTTGATTTAATTGACTGTAATTAATGATCATGTGACATAAATACTCATTTGCACCTTTTTACATGTTTACTTTTTTTGTTATGATGGTTTTTCATTTAATTAGGATGTCTTCTGTGATCTTTCATCATTATTTTCAAGCATTTTCATAAGCCCTCTTACCATAGGTGTGTGAGTCACCTCTTTGGTTTATTTGTTGTCAACTTGCCTGTGCCGTTCAAAAACCCCCTTGAACTTTGAGTGTAGCAAAGAGTGTTAATGAATTGGAATAAAATAATCGAACAAACAACCAACAGACATCTTACCGGCAGCGAAGCGCGCCTCCTGTTCTCCCTCAGTGAGGTCGGAATAAGAGTTGAAGTCTGATTCCGTGGCTGCCGGAGTGTCAATAGGCTTACACCAGCCTTTCCATTCTATCAGGTGGGCCACTCTGCCCTGAGCCATTGCTGTAGGCTTCGTCACATGGTCCTTCACCACCTGGGAAATACCTGTAAGGAAAGGTTTATTCTACAGTATATATTGTAACACATTTTTATTTTCATGTGGCTGCATGCTTTTACAAGATGTACAATCAGCTGCATTCATGAACTTTTATGTGATTAATGTTGCACTCACCATGCAGGGAGGATCGCGCTAATGCAGCAATCTCTTGAATGGTCAGAGCTCTTCTTGATTTTGGTAACATTTCAATGGTGTCATCAACATTCACCTGAAAGGACAAGGAAAAAAAAGTGTGACTCAGGAGAAAACAGGTACAGTAGCTCAGCTCAGCATTATTGTGAGCCAGCCTCTCAATACATCCTGCGATGACTCACAGGAAAGCCCAGGAGGGACTCCTATGTTCACAGTACTTCAACTGCCTCAGTGTACTTTAAGGCCTTGGAAAGTAAAGGCTTTTCACGTTACACACCAAACCATGATTTTAATGAGTCAAAAGATGTACACCAACAACCACACAGGGGCATGTAGGCCTATGTGCATGCATGAGCACATACTGACTTGGGCTGAACAATCATTGTCAGCAGCCACTCATAAATAGGACTATGTTTATGTTTAAACAATGAGTTAAGCATGTTATGTAGCATGATAAAATAATAGTTTGACATTGTGGGAAATACAGTCATTTGCTTCCATGCCATGTGGTAGATTTAAAACAATACCGCTCTCATATCACTAATTAACATGTTTAATCTCGTTTGTTTAAATCATTGAAAATAAAGAAACATAAAAATGACAAATTGTGGCATACTACGAATTATGTGCTATTTTTCTTATCTAGGCAGAGGAGTCAAGAGTCAGCAAGATTCAACTATTTTTTTGTGCCTAATTGCTGAACTACTCCTTTTAAGTTCTGTTCAACTAATTGTTGCTGTCTGGTTAGCATGTTACTTCACGTACAAAAGAAGAAACACAAGCACTTGTGGCTAGTTGTAGCCACAAGTGGATTGTTAAATTAACCGGGTGACTAATGAGCAAATGGTTTGTTGGGGTAACTGAGCTGACTCTTCTCAAGTAGAGCCTGTTGGTGTGTCTATGGCTGCAGACAAGGCTCTATATTTGCACATTATCTGCACAGAGCCAATACACAGGTGCACCTCTCCATTGGTACCAGATGTGGCTGCTAGTAAATTTCTGATGCAACTGCAAATCTGCGTGTAATTGTATAGGAAAGTACTTGAAAGGAAACTGATGAATCTCTGTGTCCAGACGGCTAGACAGGTAATTTCCCTGTGGGTGAGTTAACAGAACCAGACACTAGACAAAAGATGGACCCCCTGCTCTCGGCGTGTCCTCCATCAAATCTGTCTGCTCTGTAAAGTCAAACCACAGAGGGAGTATCGGGTGTTGACGAGTTCTTTTGTCTGCTAACTCTTTTTATAGCCCTACCTGTTCTCACATGGTAAGCGGGCACGTCAACCGCAAAGGCCACATGCTGAGCTGACGCTATCATGTTGTTACTCAGTATGGGTCAACACACCTGGCTGACTGAGCAATCTCATGACCGTTTTAGGCCAACAAGTATATCTCAGCAGGTGCAGATTGTGTCCAGTCCTGTGGCGACTGACAGCAGCTCTCTGAAGCTCCACCTGCCTTCATTTAGAGAAAGCTCACTACACCAACTGAAACATAGCAAGAACTTAGATTGTTGAGGCATTTTGAAGTTAAATCCTACTATTTTCCTTCCACTCATTAATGAATCATCAACACAGACCACATCTGACAATGAAGTTAGCTCATCCCAGAAGCATCATCCTGACCTTGTCCTGTCAATTCCACTTAATGGCGACAAAATTCCAGCCGAACAAACAACAAAATTATCCGTCAGAAGGGCCCTGCAAGAGTGAAGGGGGATCCTGGAGCTCATGATTGTATCAGCCACGAGGCGCGATAATCCTCTTGTGCCGCAGAGCAGCTCACAGATCAGAGGGAGGATAATCTGGAGATAATGTGACATATACTCTCGAGGAGGGTTAGGAGATATATTGTATTGGTCTTTACATTAAAAATCACATGTCAGGCTGTTAATGTTGTCCACCCACAGCTGAACATTTGTTGTATTTGTTTTCAAATAGTTGCCCAGAGAAATCATTTTAGTGTGGTGTGGGAGGATTTTATACATCTTCAGGGACATCCAATTCAAAAACTCCTCTCTCATTCTGCCTAATGCCCCTAAAGTTGATTTCATCACTATTTTTTCCCATGGAGTAGCCCATGATGATATAACTGCTGTTTCAGAGACATATCTAGTCTGACAAGAATACTATTTGGAAAGACAACTGGAGTCTAGAGACGCCAAATGGTCCAACTCAAGTATTATTCAAATGTATCACTATGAGCTTTTGGAAAGTGGGTCCAACTGTACGCTTTGAGCATCACCTTGCCACACAGCTCCAGTTAACGGCACCGCTGGCTGCCGGCTCTGCTCCCCTCCCCCTTCCACTCCCCCACTGCCCTACTGAACAACAGAGTGAATACAGAGGAAGACGAGAGCAGCGCTCAGAACAGAGTACAAGCGCTTCAGACTGCTGTGCCGCATCTTTTCCACCACACGCTCCGACAACATACAGCACATACATATGCACATTTACACAAATGATCTCTAGTTTGATCCTAACTTAAGACCGAGCTTAACGTTACAACCCTTATATTTAATATCCTACAGTAGCACACGTAGTATCACACAACAGTCAAGATGTTAAGCTCTTAGAAGGATAGCAGCAGAAACACACTCATAATGTCAAGAAGTCTTCATGGTCTGGTGAACACAGACAGTGCTGAGGCCACTCAGGTTCACTTTTGGCTTTTAAAACATTGGTTAACTGTTGTTTCCATGAGTCAGTGCGGGCGGACTAATGCGGCCTCGAGGCAGCCAAGAGAGAAACACAACAGATTCTTTGACACAACACAAATGTTAAGAGCTGAGAGCAGGCTGACAGTGTGTGTGTGTGACATGAATCCGAGCTCGCTGGTCTGTGTCACCTGGAAGTCTGCACACACACAAAATCACAGTTAAACGATTATTTTTGTTTTCATGATTCTGATTTATTAAATGTATAATTGTAAAATCTAATTTAATGATTTTACAACTTGAGTCTTCGGGCTCAGTTACATCAGAAACAGTTTTGGATGTGATTAAGCCTTTTTGTTGCCGTCACACAATGCCACAAGTTTCTGTGGCTACGGTGCACTTTTTTATTGATCAGTTTTTTGGGGGCCAATTAAGGTTATATCACAGCCGAAATCTAATTTGTGCCATTGTACTGGCTGATTGAGTCAATTACCCTTTTATTATTTCAAACGTCCTCGGTGGAGCACAATGGTGCAGACACATTTTTCTTATTGCCTTGGTTCCTTTTGTTCAATAACTCCTCTGTCTCTCACACACACACACACAGGTGTACACAGAAGTCATTATACAAAATGATATGACAAGGCGAGTCAGGAATGGTTTCAGTGGAACAGACTGGCGTGATATCTGCTTCCCTGGTGGAAAATAACCTGAACATCCTTCTCCTCCTTCGACATGCCACGTTTCTGCTCGACTGTGAGTACCTCTCTCTCTCTCTCTCTATCTCGCAACTTTTCCACAATGGGAACATTTCTATGGCAACTGGTCACCATGGAACAATTCCTCCGGGTGTGCCTGATTCGCTGATGATGTCACACGTTCCCAACAGCCCCAACAGCCAAATGAATGCCTCTCGCACGTGCCTCCCTGCTTTCATCTACTGCAGACGCCGCCGCTCAGAGAAGCCACGGCTAACACAGGCGTCAGAGATGAGGCATTTGCATCATCATAGGCGAATTTAATCTCTTTGGTGGCACTGAAAAGGAAGCAGATTTAGATTTATTTGAGTTTTACAACCAACAGGTCTGATTGCTGCTCCAGTTTCTGTGAAAATGTTTTTTTTTACTAAATCTGTCTGAATATGGCTAATGTCTGTCTTTTTGGGGGTCCCTGAAGTGTACAGATAAAAAGATGTGATAAGATGAGCTACCCAGCCAACCTGCCTTTTACAGTGCCCAGTATTCAATAACAGGCCTGCACATGAAGAGTGAGAGGCTGCGTTTCATAATGGATCACTTTGGCGCTGCTAATCGTCGCGTGGCTGGCTCACTGCAACACATCAGATTCACACCCAGATGGTGCGCACTGATGGATAAAAGAGGCAAGGTGGAGTCATCATCCTCATTACCATCATCATCCTCATCATCTCTGAGCCAATTATAAGCATCCCACTAACTTAAGTCCCACAGCCTTAGTTTAAAAAGTTACTTAAGACAGTACTTTGCCTTAAGGTCTTCTAGACACAAATACAGCAGCACCCCCCTTACCAAAGTGCCCTCAAAACCCCTTCTTTCCTTACCTACTATCTTATCTTATTGACAGTCTTGGGTGCAGGCTACCCTGACAGTCTCACTGTTTGCCAAATGAAACCCCACAATTAACCGGTCAGAACCTCTGGTGCAACCAGTGGACAGGAAAATGTGTTTTCTCTAAGGCTTTTAAACTCATAAAATAAACATTCAAGGGAGCCATTATAAATGTAGCATCTAACGGAGCAATCAGTCTGACTGTTCAGTAGTAATCTCTGAAGGTTTTGTGTTCTATTTTGTCCAAAGGTGAGAAGCATTACGCTCTGTGTCACTGAGATTCCATTTAAAATTCTAAATTGAAGATTAATTGCTAATTACGCTGAATGACTTGCAAATAATTAGAAACCAACTGGTTGACATTAATGGAAACGAAAATGGAGGAAGAAGTCGGGGTTGAATCACACATTAAAGATTTGGATGGCTTGATTAATAAGGTACTTATTAAACCAGGAAGGGTTGAGAAAATAATTTTCTGCTTCATGTGGCAAATTACTGAGAGACTGTCCTCTTTGATTAAGAATATCGGTGCCTGACTAGGTTATAATACACTAGGTTGCTTGTAGCTTGGTTCAAATGATGTGAAGTGATATACTGTACACAGAAGATCACATAACGTGTTTATCAGTAAACATAAATGTCGCAAATGTGGTTCTTGGAAGGGATGTAAGTTTGTGCCATTAAACCATTTTGTGAGTGAGCTTGTTTGCTTCCACTAAATTTAATACGTCATTTGCTTAATTTGAATCGTCACTAGCCATTACAGAGCACTTAGAAATATCAACTAGCTTCTTTTAATGCCTATAGCTTTGGCTAAGTCTCGGGAGGAGGTGA